GTGGCACAGCAGTGTAATGTGAACACTGGCTGCTGTATGTGCCATGAGCAGTTCAGGGGCGAGAAATGTGATGAGTGTAAGCTGGGTTACAGAGACTTCCCACAATGCATTTCCTGCCAGTGCTCGGTAGCAGGCTCGTCACTGGACACCTGCGATGCAGAGTCTGGGCTCTGCGCATGTGCAGACAGAAGTGGGCAATGCTCTTGCAAGGTAATGTCCAAGAGCTCGAAATATAGCCACTGATCTACTAATAGTGTTGTACAGTAACTTGTGATCAAAGGGATTTTTCATTAGAACTGTCATATCATAATTATTAGGATTATTAGGGGTATAGAAATGCACTGACAATGAATTACTGTATAATGCTCCAATCTGGTAAAACTGCTGTTTCCACATGACAACTGTAAGAGAAGCTGCCCTGGGCTGCATTTCCAAAAAGCATTGTAAGCCTAAGTAGATCATGAAGATCACTGATGCTGATGTTTTATATGATCTGCTTAGGCTTACATTTTTTTTTGGTAAATGCAGCCCCCAGCACACAACACTAATGTGAATGCGTGTGTGTTCAGGCCAATGTGGAGGGAGTGAAGTGTGACCGCTGTAAGATGGGCTCTTTCGGCCTCAGTCACAGGAATCCACTGGGCTGCAGTCAGTGCTACTGCTTCGGCTTGAGCAGCTCATGTATGGAGGCCACAAGACTCATCCGTATGAGGGTGAGTAAACACACAAGTCATATGATGGCACTTTTTCATCAATAAGATTCAACATTTTGTTTTGTTACTTTCTAAAGCAACTGTTTTACATCAGTTTTAAACACCTTCTGAAATATCTTGAACTGATAGTGGATTTATTGAAGAAAACTTAAATTTTACTTTACTTCACATTCTAAATTATTTCCTTTATATTTAATTACTGAACTGAATGTGATTCCTAAGCATTGTTTGCCTTTACATTTTATCCAATGGCACATATGACACACAAGTTAACATCTCTTCCTCACATAAAGCAGTTTCTGGTAAAACTTTGCTTACGAAAAAGGTTGATGGCTATTTAACTTTTAATGTCTCTGTGGCAAACAGAGTTTGTAAAGGAGAACTCAGTTTTAGTAGAAGCTGAATATTGTCTAAAAATAGTATGAGATGTTGTGTTTCTAAAAATGTATACTGAATATAAATGAATATAGGAAAATATAAAATGAATATATATATATATATATATATATA